GAAAGGGCATCCGCTGCGTAAAACATTTGCGGAATGATTTGTGGTTCATTCCGCTGTGGCGACCCCTGATGGATAAAGGGATTAAGCCGATGGAAAATTAATGAACGATTCAGTCAAATGCAGTAGTTTTTATTGGAGTAACCAACGCATGAGCTGTAAAAGCCCCGCCCTCTTCTAGAAGGGAGGGGAAAGCAGAAACTCATTTGCACTTAAAGACACACACACACACACACACACACACACACACACATTGCATTGTTGTTCATTCATTCTCCGTTAGTTTAGTCGCTTATTTATCAGGAGTCGCCACAGTGGAATGAACCGCTAACTATTCCAGCATATGTTTTACACAGCGGATACCCTTCCAGTCATGACCCAGTACTGGGAAACACCCATACACACTTATTCACACACTCATAAAGTACAGCCGGTTTACTCCATCAATCCCTGCATTGTTTTTGTCATTTTTAAGTCTATAATTTTTTCCTAAAATAATTTCCACATATTTGTTATTGTTATAATACGTGAGATACACAGAGCTTCACAGACACATTCTGAAGACTTTTGTTAAACCTAAATATTTAATAAGCCCAATTAACTGCATTAGTCTTTGGCAGGGGTGTCCAAACTCAGTCCTGGAGGGCCGGTGTGCTGCAGATTTTAGCTCTAACTTGCCTCAACACACCTGCATGATGTTTCTAGAAGGCCTAGTAAGAGCTTAATTAGCTAGCCCAGGAGTGACTGATTGGGGTTGGAACTAAACTTCCGGCCCTCCAGGACAGAGTTTGGACATGCCTAGTCTATGGTAATACCGAAATCCCACCTTTTCTTCAGCTTCTATCTGTCCCTCATCAGCCTCTTCTTCTGTTTGCTCCAGTTCAGGTTTGTTCTCTTCAGATTGGACGTCTGCTTCATTGTTTTCCTTCTGAAGGCAAGGTCGGTTTTTAAAATAGAGCACTGTAATGAACCATAACCATGGCGGTTTTATCATCATGAATGTCTCACCGGTGTGTCTCCGAGATCCTCCTGAGAAAGGCTTTGCTCTGTGTTTTGGATCTCAGCGGATTGTTCTTCATCTCCTGCAGTTTCACCTGATTCCTCCTCATTCAGCGCTGGATCTGTTTGCTCCTTCACTGTGTCTGACTCTGGCTGATCAGCAGGAGCTTCAACACTTTCTACCTGCAAAGAGAGAGAGAGAGACGCTTTCAAAATACAGCTTACAGAAGCATTAAGTTGTGTTTTGCACTACGCTAGCTAAAAAAACAATTATCTTAAAGGTGCAGTAGCTGATTGTCTTCAGAAGCATTGTTTGTTGTGCTGGTTGAAAGTCTCTTTACAGTCTAATAGTGATGATAAAAGTAAATGATCTAAATGTTTTATATGTGTTTTTATATTCTGGGTAAGGCATAAAACTAGTCGAGTCGGGCCGATATCTCTCATAATTCCGATAAGTAGGCCAAACTGTCTGTCAGCAAATGTAGATTTGAACAACTGCGCAGCCGTTTGTACGCAGCTCCGCCGCCTGCCGCGTGTTCACGAGAGAGAGAGCACGGGTGCGCGATCGGTGACAACCTGCTGAATCAAAACATTTTAAAAACCTGAATTAATATTGGAGTTACCTTTGCACGCTAGAGAAAGGATGACACCATGTGTGAGGGGTTTCTCTTAGACAGGTAATGTTCTGTTTTACTGTTTTAGCTTCACGTAAAGCTGATGTAACGTTTGATGTTGTTGTCAGAAACGGGTTATATCTTCACAGAAGTGTTGTTCAGCCACTAAAATCTTCTGCTACAATATTAATAACACTATTTTCAGTTTGATTAGGTCCTTTTACAGCATAGATAATGTAGATTTTAATTAGTTTAACAACAAAACACAAGTAAATAGTGCTATTCCGCCTAGTCTCTCCCTATATTGTTTACCATGCAACTCTAAATATTCACTCTGAAATCGCATGTCAGTTTGGCTTGCACGCCACCGGACAAGCACTAGTCGCTTTTAACATGAGAGAGGAATCTTTTGCTGTGCTGGTGTTTAAGGAGGCATGGCTCGAGACGGCAAGGGAGGGACTGTGATTTAGAGATTTATGCTAAGCTGTTAGCATTGTGGATGATCACCTACTGCACCTATAAGGTTTGATCACAACCAAGAATGACAAAAGTCTAGTTATTGATCCAAAATCTGAAGACCCCTTTCAGTATTTGTAATTTTTGCAGTGTTTCAGCAGGAATTATGATTAAATGGGCATCTATTTTGCAAAAGTCAATTTAATAAGGGGTTTGCACAAAGTTCAGCAGTGTGTGGATATCTCCAGCCTCTAATGGCAAACATGAATTAATTGTATGTTTTATAATCAGACTTGATGAAAACAGTCTGCAGAAACACTTTGATTGACATTCTCCCTTTTTATGTGTCATCAGAGGGGGAAAGCCCTGCCCACTAGTGACCATCTCTCCCTCATTAGCATATAGAATGTTAGTTTTGTTTTTGAATCTGCCACTATGCTGACACACAGGCATCTGTAGCTCCGCCCTCTTCTGAAAAAAAAACTAATCTCATTTGAATTTAACAGGACAGTCACCAAAACAGCACAATTAGGATCAAAACCTAAAAGGGTCAGTTTCAGAGAGTTATAAAACATTACATATGCATGGTTTCCGCTACATTCATTCTTCCATGGCGGGGCGCCACGCCAAAATTCATCCCGCCACGGCTACATTACAGCTTCTCATTCAAAATGTTTTTATTTAATAGCGGGTAATAATCGCACCAAAACGTATTAAAGGGTAAGTTAATTATAACAGCGTGAACTTTTCAGTAACCGTAGTAGTGCTGTGCGTCATTTGTTTAACCCTTTAAGGTTACGTGCTGACTGACTGACTGACAGACAGACTGACATGTGCGCGATGCGTGAGGCCAGCAATCAAGACGTATTGGCATTTCACTTTACTTCAGGACACATTAATATCGCTCTGTAGGTTTATTAGAGACATTAATAAATATTCCAACCCAAGCTCATTCTGGAAACGTAGCCCCGCGGACGTTTCTGGAGACTGCGATTTACGTGGCCGGAGGTACGTACGGCCGCGTTTAGTTTTTTTTGAGCGAACGCTGCAGGGCGGAGTCCCCGGAGGAGGAGCTGGCCGCGGGGACGACGACCGGGATCGAGTCCGGGGAACAGCGGTTCCAGAAATCAGGTAAGATGAAAAACAGAATCCGAAAAATAAGGGCGAGAACGCAGCGGGATCCGAAAACGAGGTCGATTTTGCAAACCGTCGCTTGGGTTTAGGGAAGGAGGAGAAAGGGCAGGGCGGCCGGGTCGGCCGATCCGGCGGCTTTTTGCGCGAGAACAGCGCGGGCACGAACGGCGCACGCTCCTGTGAGGCGCCTGAGACGCGAAAAAGCGCGCACAGCGGCCTCTCGCCGATCCGCGAAAACAAAAACCGCTCGAATACATACCTCCCGGGACGTATCTCGCGGTCCGCAGAAACGTCCGCGGGGCTACGTTTCCACAATGAGCCCGGGTTGAAATATTCCTAGCAAATCTAATAAATGCTGGAGACATACTCGTTACATAAACGCACTAAATCTCACTTCAGCAGCGTTTATTTGAGAGCCCACAAGATCTGCTCGCTCTTGAAGCCGCTTATATTTGAGCGGGCGTGCAAAAAGTTTTGTGCATGAGCAGAGGAAATCGGTGCGCAAGCAAAGAGATCTGCATGCTGTCGGCTATTACATAAATGTGATCTCAACCTCTAATACTGCGCTCACGACATTTGTCATTGAAATAACGCCACGTGTAGACCTGTGTAACAAAAAAAAAGGCCTGCCGCCACAGCTGGAAAAAATCCTAGAAGAAACACTGCATATGTGTTATTTTGAGCTGAAACTTCACACATGCACACCCTAGGAACATCACAGACTTATTTGACATCTCGTATAGAGGGGCAGAACAGGTCCCCTTTTAAGAATGTAAAGGTATTTGGACTACAAAAGTGTTTGGATGTATAAACACACCTGTTCTTCAGCCTGAGAACTCGTCGAGTCTGCAGGAGTGGCTTTGCTCTGCTCTGCTGATTCAGGCTGAGGCTCCTCTGTGTGCTGTAAAACACAATATTGAACATGACCACGCAGAAAACTCCTCATCTTAGAGACTGTCTCTGCTTCAGCCTGCTGTAGATTCACCTTAATCTCCTCCTGTGCGGCTCTGATCTGCTTCTGTTCCTCCTGCAGGAGCTGCTGATGGAGAGACTCATCATGAAGACGCTGCTTCTCCTCCTTCAGCCGGCTCTCAAATGCAGATCTCTGAGCAAAATATTGTGTGTTGTTTATAGAGGGTTTTATTTGGATGTGTCTTATATTGTGAGTTTGTTGTAATGGACAATGCTTTCTATTTTCGGGGATGCATATATGTATATATACACACAGTTGAAGCCAGTCAACTCTTAAAAAAAGGAAAATAACCATTATTAAAAAATGTCTGATTGTAAATTATAAACATTTACTATTTTAGGTCCGTTAGGATTACCTGAATGATTTACATTTGCTAAATGCCAGAATAATGAGAAAATTTTTATTAATTTCTAGACAGTCAAGAGTTTACACACATTTCCTTGGTATTTTTTTAGCTTTGCTTTTAAACCATAACTTTGGTCAAATGTTTTGAGTCTCCTTTCACAAGCTTCTTACAAAAGTTTGCAGGATTTTTGGCCCATTCCTCCTGACAGAATTGGTGTAACTGAGTCAGATTTGTAGGCTGTCTTGCTCGCACAAGCATTTTCAACTCCGCCCACAGATTTTCTACAGGATTGATATCAGGGCTTTGTGATGGCCACTCCAAAACATTCACTCTGTTGTCCTTAAAGCACATTTTCACTAATTTGGCAGTGTGCTTAGGGTCATGGTCTGTTTAGAAGAGCCATTGGTGGCCAAGTTGTAATGTCCTGGCTGATGTCTTGAGATGTTGCTTCAGTATTTCTGCATAATGTTCTGTCTTCATGATGCCATCTATGCTGTGAAGTGGACCAGTGCCTCCTGCAGCAAAACAGCCCCACAACATGATGCTGCCGCCCCCATACTTCACAGTTGGGATGGTGTTCTAGGCTTGTAGCTTTCCCCTTTGTCCTCCAAATGTAACACTGCTCATTATGAACAAACAGTTCAATCTTAGCTCCATCAGAGCACAGGACATGTCTCCAAACATGAGTCTTTTCCCAGTGTGATTCAGCTAATTGTAATCTGGCTTTGTTGTTGATTCTGTCTTGTTGATTCTCCATGTTGTCACACAAGGAAGCAGTGTGTTTGAGCTTTTCCTTCAATACTATTCTACAGTTGTGCCTCACATTAACTCAAATGTTGTCAATTAGCCAATCAGAAACTTCCAAAACCTTGACATCATCATCAGAGCTTTATCAGATGCAGAATAATCTTATTGTGTGTAAACTTGACTTTCAAGAAGAGTTTTAACAATTTCTCAATAAATATCTCTCTCATTATTCTGTTGTTAAGCAGAACAGAAACACATTTGATCATCCTAACTAAACAAAAAAAAAAAAGAAAAAGTTTAGTCACATTAACATCTGACTTCTTTTTTTAATGGTTATGTGCTTTTTTTACAGTGTAACGTTATGTAAACTTCTGGTTTCATCAGATCTAGTCTGATCTATTGACAACAAACATTATTTCACTATTCCTGGTATTCACTACATTACGAGTACTACACAATGTCCCCTTAATATAGCAATACAAGTCATTTTTGACTTTGTGGGGGCATTGTTTTGGTCCCCATAAGGAAAACGGTTCATAAATTAGATATTTAGTAAATGTAAAATGCAGATTGTTTTAGGGAGTGTTGAATATACAGTCTGTACAGTAAAAAACACCATTACAGCTATGAGAAGGGTCCATAAAACACGAAAATCCAACGTGTGTGTGTCACACCTGCTCCTGTAGTCTCTGCTTCTCTCTGTATGAGCGGATCCACAGCGCCAAATACTCGATGGGCTCCTGCGGCCTGTGCTCGATCAACTCCGCGAGACCTTCGGCGAGACAGACGCCCAGACACCGGTTCACATAAGCTGAGTCCATAATATACTTAATTATCTAACCACATTAAAAACGGCTTTCAGCGATAATACCAAAGTTCACACGCGTTGATTTGTTATTAGCGGCGAGGTTTGTTTATCATCTCTATGGAAACGGCACAGCAATGAAACACTTCCGGCTTAGAATAAAAAAAAGTTATCAAGTTAACGAGAATTATTTATGTTATTTATTAAATCACGAATAATTTTATTCTATTAACGTCTTCCCCTACCCTAACCCTAAATTCAACCATCAGATTAATGTACAAAGAGTCAATATACAGAGTGTTATTGATATAATTGATTAAATTACCCATTAAATTGTATTTTATTAACGTCTATCCCTATATGGAGTACGAAACCTATAAAAAACAATAAATAAATAAATAAATACGCAAATAAATAAATAAATAAATAAATAGTTGTGTATATAAATCTATTAATTCCAGCATAAATAAAACAATAAATCAATAAACATGCAATAAATAAATAAATGTATAAATAAATATATTAATTCCTGCATAAATAAAACTATAAATAAATTAACATGCAAATAAATAAATAAATATATAATTAAATCGATAAATTCCTGCATAAATAAACCAATAAATACATAAACATGCAAATAAATAAATCTATAAATAAATCTTTAAATTCCTGCATAAATAAAACAATAAATAAATAAATACGTAAATAAATTAATAAATGAATAAATAAATACACAAATTCCAGAATAAATAAAACAATAAATAAACACATAAATACACAAATAAATAAATAAATGTATGTATAAAAATCTAAAACTTCCTGCATAAATAAAAAAAAAATATGCAGTGTTAAAGGGGGACAAATTTACTTTCAGCTTAGCATCCATGTAATCCATTTAAATATTAATCTGCCCGCACTATTTATATATTTTATTATACAGGAATTTGTAGTTATATATATATATACACACACACACACACACACACACACACACACACACACACACATTTTTTATTTATTTGCATATTTATTTACTGTTATATGCAGGAATCGGGATTGATTGTAATCTAAATTTAATCAATAAACAAGACCGTTTCTCCGGAGCGCGCTCCCCATCTGCAGGTGGCGCTGATGAATCTTTTTGCTCGGTGTTCATGAGAGACGCATGCACTGACATTAGAGCAGAGCTGCATGTGGCAGAGGATCAAACATTCACTATTAAACCCTGCACTTTGCTTTAAGCTACTAAAATAATATTTATTTCAGCACATCAACACGCTAACTGCGTGAACGCGCCGCAGTCATGGTGAAGGAGCAGTTCAGAGAGACGGATGTGGCCAGAAAGATGTAAGTTTGCGTGTTTCATGCAGGGTAAACATGTTTCATCAGAACTTTAGACACTAAATACTCCTCAGACTTGATAACCAGATGTCTGACTGTGCATTCATATACTTGTAGACCAATTTGGGATTTTTATTGACCGAGTCGGCGATGTTGAGAAGGCAAACTTGTCTCATTTGAGGCCAAAATATAATAATCACAGTAAATGAATCATGAAAAACATTGCTTTTACTAAATTAACGTTTATTAATAATATGTGATTGGTGTCTGAGGTGCGTTATTAGTATTTCTTAACTAAGACATTAGTACAATTAAAAGTTGTTTGCGGCATTAGCATGTTTTCGCTAGCATCAGCAATTAACGTAAACTAAATCTACACAAAATGTAAACAAACGAAGAGGCAGTTTAATTAATGATTTGTGGTTCATCCTTTCTTTATTCTGTTTTCCAGCGCATTTACCATATAACATTTAACATGCACTTTGTATTTGTTATAGTTATCAGTGTAATAAACAAAAGTCATTTTATATAGAAGTGTAATTTTTAAGTACATTTAATTTTGTCACCGATAATTACTGCTGCTTAAAAACACGAGTAAAGAAAAATGAATCAATATTCATATATTCATGTAAATATAATATTCATATACATGAATGCTATTAATGCATATGTATTAATATTTTATTCAAATAATTTTATGCGTATTTAATTACAAATATCGTTGTGTAGTTAGGTTATTTTTGTCTCAGTGTAGGATAATTCCACAAATAATAAAGATTTATGTGTGTTATATACATATATATATATATATATATATATATATATATATATATATATATATATACACACACACACACACACACACACACACACACACGCACACACATATATATATGTAGAAATTATTTGAATTAAACTGCACAACCCCCAAACATTATGCTAATCAAAAGGATAAGAGTTGGCTCTCTGTAGAACAAACATGATGGATTTTATTTAATTCAATATTTTTACATTTACGAGGAAAAAGCTTTGTTATGGATGTGACATCTCTCTGTTACGGATGTGACAGATGTAAAATTGCCACTTGTGTGACTTTGGTAAATCAAATATATTAGTCTGAAAACACTGACAGATGCATTTTTGAGTATTTCTAAAGTACTAGTTTCTAAATTATAAAGCAATATAATTTCTCTAGATGACTTAAATAGCTCTGTTCGCAAAGTCATTTCTTGGGATGATTTTACAGGGGAGTGAAATATAAATATATATTTTATGTAATTTATTATTAGCATACATAAACACAACTGAGCTAATATTAAAGTGACCTAAACTGTGCTTTATGGTTTTCTGGGGAGAGCAACATTATTTAGGTACAGAAATAATCAGATGTAAAATAGCACTGTATATCCATGTATAACCATTAAAATATTTTAATAAAGTTAATCTTTATGTACTACTAAAATGATTTAAACTCTCTTCAATTGCTCACATAGCCACAGGCCTTCAAAATACATGCAGATGATAAACAAAAGGCACGGTTCGGTTCGATTCACGGTTTTGGAGCCACGGTTCGGTACGGTTCGGTTTCTGTTTGCTGTGGGGTTAGGGTTGATGTCATGCTAACAGCAATGCTAAGGGACAATTCACTTAATAACAAGAACATCTTACCTTTTTCTTTATTAACTTTGTCATCACATTTTTAGTACAGTCAGGATACCCGAGCAAACAACTAGAATTAAATAAATACATCCAATATAGACTAGTCAGAAAAAAAAACTATTCTCTGTAGTGCAGCCATCTTAACTAAGTAAACTAAAATTAAATAAATAACTGCAGTGTAGACTAGTGAAAGATCTTCTTCAAAAACACCATAATATCCACATTCTCCGATGAGAGGCTTGATCTCTGTGCTGACACACACGCTCATTTTTAATTATATGGTTTCATTTAGATAGATAGGTTTCTGTTTAAATTAATGAAAAATATACATATACTGTGTTTGTAAAGTGTTTTTTCATGACATATTCACCAGTAAAATACATTGCGGTTGTGTCTGAAACTAATGTTAGGGTTGTAGCCGGCTGTATGTTTGCCTCTCGATCTCTCTCTCCCGCTCCCTCTATGCCGGTCATTTCTGTAGGTCCGCCTTCACGACAGCTGATGCCTGTCATTTCTGTAGGCCCGCCTTTTTGACAGCTGATTGGTCAGGAGACCGATCTATCATCATTTGGCGACGCAGCGCGGGAATGTAAAAAGCATGTCAGGAAGAACGGGAGAGAGAGCGCTTTTTCCTTTGATCTCGTTTTTCGTGTATTTTTCGAAAGTGAAAAGTAGATGATTTATCTTTCATTCTCGGCCTGCAGATGCTCTTTTTAACTGTTTTCTTGCTGGTGAAATGCTCAGTTTTTCCACTTACACTTACTTTACGTCATGTAAATAGCAAATGTGCCATGTCGCGACGCAGCTGGCTCTTAATGGGAATGAGAGACGAGACTCTGATTGGTTTATTTTCAAATCACACCTATAACTCATTAAGAAAATAAACTCAACCCTTTTAGATCACGCACCACGGCACAAAGTGGATTTTTCCGTCCTTATTTTAACAAAAATGCATTCTGTCACGCCCTGAAAGCATTTGCGCTCTGTGCTTTGCACATGGACCATCAAAATAGAGCCCGTAATGTGTTTCCCCCAACACTGTTGATCAATATGTTGTGTATAAGTGTTAAAAGCTCTGATGGTGTGTGTTGTGTTTCTCTTGTTTTTCAGAAGTCACATCTGTTTCGGCATGAAGTCTTCAGAACAGATGCGGCAGCAGGCGCACATTCAGGTGGTCAGCAAGAACCTGTACAGCCAGGACACCAGCCACAAACCACTGCAGTACGGCGTCCTGGACCACCGCATGGTAAATGCACAAACACATGCGATCACTATTAACATAATCTTAATTTATCTTTCTAAAATGTATGAGAAGCCTGATTATCATGCAGTCCATATTGAAAGGTATTCCTTTTCTGTCTGGTGTTCAGGGCACCAGCGAGAAGGACAGACCCTGCGAGACCTGCGGGAAGAATCTGGCCGACTGTCTGGGACACTACGGATATCTGGATCTGGAGCTGCCCTGCTTTCACATCGGATACTTTAAAGCCATCGTCGGCATCCTGCAGGCAAGTTTACACTGTAATGCAGGGCTCGAAATTGCGACCATTTTGGTCGCATATGCGCCCGAAATTTTATCAATGCGACCTTGAAATATATTTGGGAGCATTTCTGCGAGTGTTTAAAATTGTAGTGTGCGACCAATTTTTACTGCAAAATGTTCATCACATGCGCGGATTCGGGAGACATTCAAGCAGAATGCATCTCTAAGCTTTTTGTCTGCACTTGAAACGCGAAACGCAGCGCTCGGGAATGGTTTAAAACAGTTGTCATGTCAACTTGCTGCAGTAAACAAAGCCAAGTCCGTAATGCTTGCCCCGCCTTCGCGCTCTTCTTATTGGCCCAATGCTCTAGCACTGAACGCGAATGATTGGTTAATATCAGCTGTCAATCACTCAGTGCCTTCTGGCTTCAGATGACAGAGAGCTACTACCGCGAAAAATTGTAAAGCTCTGAAGATGAGAATGAAGATAACATAACACTTGACAGATTTTGTTTTATAAACCATGGCATCTACAGTTGCAAATAATGACACATCTTACTAGTTATACCGTTAACACGTTAATTCAAGCAGTGCGTGCAGGGCCGGTGAGCGCTCCGTGTATGCTTTGGTCACTCAGTTATGTTATAAAAATCAATTTTCTTGTGATAACGGGATTTTGTTGAGACATATTTTCCTCACGCTTGCATATAACCTTATATATAATTTTTTTGCTTGTTAGTTTGATTAGTGTTGATTTCAAATACAATCAATATGTTTGTATAAAACTTGTAGTAACGGTGCTCATAATTGGTGGGTGCGACTAAATTTTGGCTGATGCGCCTAAATTTTTAAAGTTAGGAGCACCGGTGCTACCAAGCAAAAAGGTTAATTTCGAGCCCTGTAATGCATTATTTTTTATTTTTTATTCCACATTATATTTATATATATTAAATTAAAGGTGCAGTAGGTGATTGTCTTCAGAAACATTTGTTGTTGTGTCTCTTCACAGTCCAATAATAATGATTACAGTAAATGATCTGAATGTATTTATTTGTATTTTTATATACAGGGTAAAGCATAAAACTAAAAATTGTTCATCCAATTAAATAGAGTATGACCGTCATCTCTCTTAATTCCGATAGGCAGGTCAGACTGTCTTTCAGCAAATGTAGATTCCGACTTCTGCGCATCTGTTCACGCAGATCCGTCATTAGCGCGTGCCCGTCTGCATCACAAACGCATGCGCGCGAGCGAGCTGCAGGCCGCTCGCAGATGCCGAGTCGGAGGCGCCAAAGGACAGCCGAGCTCATTTTTGAACAATGACAGCCTTCCTCTACTGTTTACTGCTAACGTTACTCTGAATATTCGCTCTGAAATAGCATGCAAGTGTGGCAAAGTAATAAATGTAATTCCTGCACGGCGCTGGCACTAACTAACTGGCGAATGACATGAACTAGTGGGTTGTCTGTCGGCTGTTGTGACGCGGTCTGCACGCTTGCGCTATCAGGGGGTGTGGCTTTGAATCACAGTCCCTCCCCACCGTCCAAAGATAATATGCTAAGCGGTTAGCATTTTGGCAGATCACCTTTAAGTATTGTTTTTTTATGTATAATGTTTTCATATTCTTTTATATATTATGATCTGTTGTTTTATTTTATTATTCTGAAATATTATGTTTGTGTTAAGTAGCATTCACATTGTTATATGTGGATATTGTTGTGTTCAGCATGTTATAAGATTTGTTGAAGTGCGTGCATGTGGTGCGTGCGCGTGAAAAAATAAAGCGGAAGCTTTAGTGTGTTCATCTGGACTAATAGATATATTTTGATGAATTCTGATATCATTTAATTGTGTTGAGTAAATTATAGTAATCTGTATTCCAAGATATGGTAATTGGTAATGTATAGATTTTAGCGTTAATAATATAAAATACTATTGACTCTATAAGGTTAATACTATATATGTATCCACGCACATTATTTTTATATCATTATATATTAAGTCAATATAAACATATAAATAATAGTAACGTTAATATAACTTTTGGTAAATTGACTTACTTATTGATATATATATATATTAGTGGTGGGTCGTTATCGGCGTTAACGCAAGACTTTTATTGTGCGATTAAACTAAAATATCGCCGTTAATCTATTCTCAAAGTTGGGTTGGGAGCTGGGTCTATTATACGCAAGCTATGATGACTTTGACCTTGATATTTTAGCGCGGATGTATACCTGCCCGGTGAGCTGTCTGAAAAAAAAAAAAGTGCCCTTCTGAATCAAATCAGCAGGATGCCTGACTTTAACTGCAGCTCGGCAGTTTCACTTTAACTCAAGAACATTTCAATTATTGCGCCGTGACAAACTGGGCTATTAGACGCAAATAAGAATTCTGGACTGGTGAGAGTGTTATGTAATTTAATAATGCATGCCAAATGGAAAGAAAAAAAACTTCTGCGTTTCGCTGTGTGTGTGTGTGTGTGTGTGTGTGTGGTCCTTTACTGACAGCCGCGTATGTAAAAAAAATGGTGAACAGTCCTACATGACGGTAATAGTTTGATTGCGGTGTTTACTGCAATAATGCCACTAATATCTGCAGACTCCACATGTCCTAATTCCATTTCTGTTTAGTTCAGTTATGACTTTAGTTTAATCTGATTAAGGTCATCAAAAATGGCTGTTACGAGCTTATGTAGGCCTACAGTTCTACATTCATGTCTAACTGATTAAACGGTTACTAAACACAAGCACATCTTATTGAACATCATTTATTTTCATCACCAATTATCACAGTAGAACAGTTTCTTAAGCAGTTTGTGATGCATTGTGGAAACAGGAGATGAGCCTCTGGTCTAATGCGCTACCTGGCTTGAGAAACCCGTTCTCAAAGACTTATTATTTGGGTAGCACACATATTCTAAATGCCCTCGGCAGAATTCAAATTAGACATTTAAATCTAGATTAATCTAGATTAATTCCAAGATTAATGTAGATTAAATAAATTAATCTATGCCCACCTATAATATATATATATATATATATATATATATATATATATATATATATATATATATATATATATATATATATATATATATATATATATATATAAAACTACCTCTCACTCTATATATATATATATATATATA